GGGTGGAGCAAAGTTTTTGGGACCTTCATATGCTGATGGGGTAAAACTCAAAATGAGAAAAAAACAGTAAGTATCCTTTAATCATCAGAATATGAAATATATGAAGTATGAATCTAGGAAAATTGGAAGTTCTTCAAAAATGAAGTGCAACATATAAAAATTTGTATCCTAGGCATTAGTGAACTGAAGTAGGCTAATATTAGTCATTTTAAATCAGAGAATTGAATAGTTTACTATGCTGGTGAATTGAAGAGGAATGGCACTGCAGTCATCTTCAAATGTACATTTCAAGATCTGACTTGAAGTACAATGCTGTCTGTGAAGGATGATATCCATATATCTGTAAGGAAGCCCAGTTAATACCACTACTATTCAAATGTATGCACCAGTCACTAAAGCCAAAGATGATAACATTAAAGAATTCTACCAACTTCTTCAGTCTGAAATTGATCAACTATACAATCAGATGCATTGATAATTACTGGTGATTAGAATGCGAATGTTGGAAACAAAGAGAAGGGAACAGTAGTTGGGAAATATGGCTGAGATGAAAGAAATGAATCTGAGATCTCATGACAGAATTTTGCATGATCAATGACATATTCACTGCAAATACCCTTTTTTAAAAACAATACATAAATGGTGACTATACATATGGACCTCACCAGATGGAAATTAAAGAAACCAAATTGACTACATCTGTGGGAAGAGAATATGGAGAAGCTCAATAACATTTGCCAAAAAAAGGCCAGGTATTGACTATGGAACAGACCATCAATTGCTCATATGCAAGTTCAGGCTGAAGCTGAAGAAAATAAAAACCAGTCCACGAGAACCAAAATGTGATCTTTATTATATCCCACTTGAATTTAGAGAACTTTCAAGAACATATTTGATGCATTTGCCACTACTGACTGAAGACCAGAGGAGAGGAGTTATTAGGATGACATCAAGAACATCTTCCATGAAGAAAGCAAAATGTTATTCAAATGACAGGGGGGAAAAAGAGAGACTCTGGAACTCACTCTTGAATATAGAGAAGCTAAAGTGACTAGAAGAAAGAAAGTAAAAGAAATGAAAAGAAAACTTCAAAAGGCAGCTCAAGAAGATAATGTAATGAATTATAATGAAATATTCAAAGCCCTAGAGTTAGAAAACCAAAAGGGAAAAATACGCTTAGCATTTCTCAAGCAGAATGAACAGAAGGAAAATTTTAAGCCTTGACTTGAAATATTGAAGGATATGGTTCAAACCCACCAGCTATTCCTCGGAAACTCAATACAGGGTTGCTGTGAGTTGGAACCTACTCAATCGTACTTAACAACAACAGCTACAACATGGGAAGAATATTGAATGACACAGGAAGCATCAAGAAGATGGGAGGAATACACAGAGTCACCGTACCAGAAAGAAATGGTTAATGTTCAGCCATTTCAAGAGATTGCATATGATCAAGAACTGACAGTATTAAAGGAAGAAATCCAACCTGCACTGTAGGTACTGGTGTAAAACAAGGCTCCAGGAATTGATGGATTACAAATGGAAATGTTTCAACAAATTGATGCAGCACTGAGGCATTCATGCATATAAACCAAGAAATTTGGAAGACAACTCTCTGGCTAACTAATTGAAAGAGATCCATACTTCTGCCCATTCCAAAGCCAGGTGACCCAATGGAATTGGAAATAATTGAACAATATTCTTAGTATCACATACAATTAAAATTTTGCTGAAGATAATTAAAAACTGCTGCAGTAGTATAGTGACAGCTGCCAGAAATTCAAAATGGATTCAGAAAAGAATGTGAAATAGGTGAGATCATTGTTGATATCAGATGATATACCCAAGTCATGGTATTTTCATTTGCCCCATTTGCATGTAAAAATTGGACAATGAATAAGGAAGACTGTAGAAAAAATGATGCATGTGAACTATGGTGTTGGCAAATAATATAAAAATATCATGGACTGCCAAAAGAACAAACAAATCTGTGTCAGAAGAAGTACAGACAAAATGCGCCTTTGAAACAATGATGTTGTCTCTCATACTTTGGACATGTTGTCAGGAAGGAACAGTCCCTTGGGCAGGACCCATGTTTGATACAGGGAAGGGCAAGAAAAAAAGAGCAAAACCTTTAAGGAGATGAATTGACATTGGCAGCAATAATGGGCTCAAACATAATATTTGTGAGGGTGATGTAGGACTGGACAGTGGTTCATTCTGTTGTGCAGAGGATTGCTATGAGACATAACTGACTCAATGGCACTTAACAAAAATCCTCAAATTGACTCTTTTATTTTATTTAATATTATTCTCCACCTAAAACCATATTCTCTCCTTAGGTTTGTTACTTAAATAAATTTATACTTTTCAGTACTATGATAATTCTTACTTCATGATGCCACAGGATGGGACAGTGTTTCATTGTGTTGTAGGCAGGGTCTCAGTGAGTGTAAATGGGCTTGACAGCACCTAATAACAACATGCTTTTGCTTATGGTGCTCATCAGTCTGCAGTGTTTAAAAATATATATATATTTAAACATTTCAATGATGTTTTATTTTTCTGTAACAGAGATAGAAATACAGTACTTGGAGGTCAAACACAAAAGGAATCTCCTGGATTTTCCTTTCTTTTGAGTTATACTTCTAGATCTCCTGGATTGAATTTATTCGATTCTTCTGTATTTGATTCAGAAACCTCATCAGATCAGGTAATATGAGAAGGTAAAGTTGGTTTCTAAAAACTGTTCACTGGAATCTCAAGTAATTTTAGCTCCTTAGTACCAAAGTAGGAGGAAGGTGGCTCCGTAGGATAAGCACTGGACTGTGAACCACAAGGTTGGCAGTTTGAGCGTAGTAGCTGCTTTGTGGGAGAAAGATGAGGCTTTATGCTCCCACAAAGACTTAGAGTCTCATTAACTCTACACAGGGTCATTGTGAGTTGTAACCAACTCAAAGGCACTTAACAACAACAAAGGTACCAAGTTAAGGAGCTGTAGTGGTGCTGTGGGGTAAGCACTGGGCTACCAATGCAGTGTCAGTGTGTCAAAGCCACTAGTCACTCTGTAGGAGAAAGATAAGGCTGTGTGCTCCAGTAAAGCATTACAGTCTCAGAAACCCTATGTAGGATTAATGAGTCAGAATTGACTTGATGGCAGTGAGTTTGGTGACAGTACCAAACTATTTCAAAAAACAGAGTACAAAACAGGCAATCGAAAAAAACTCATAGTATTCATAGTTTGTCAACATTCCTACTACCTTTTTGTTTCTGACTTCAGATACCCCAAATTAGCACCTATTTCTAAAAACAGAATAATGAGAAAGGTAATGATTTAAGTTGTAGTTCAGGGCTGTTTAAAATAAATTTGGCTTCGTAGTTAATATATCTAAGTCTTAAACAAATTTCATATACTCTCAATATGAGAAATTCTTTACATTATAACTTGGTCTTATGTGTATACCCAAGCTGAATGTGTATACACAAAAATGTTGTTGTTGTTGTTAAGTGTTTCAAGTAGATTCTGACTCACAGGGACCCTGTATAGGGTTTCCAAGGAATGGCTGGTGATATTGAACACCAGCCTTGTTGTTCAAACCAACCTTGAGGTCGAGTACTTATCCGGTGGTACCACACCAGTATATAGCACTGTACATTTCATGTCTTCAATATCTGTGTCATTTTTTATATAAATTCTTATAAAAATGAGCCATTCTTAGAAGGACTGAGCAGGAAAAAATGATTATTATAGTTGCTACTCATTTGCAGTAGTCATATAAATATAAAATGCACATATATAACATTAACAAAAAACTTGTACATTTTAGATTAAGAAAAATACAAAATCTTTTCTGAAAAAAAAATATTTGAATACATAGAGAAAGGTTGTGAAAATTTCTTTTCAAAATAATTTATAGATTTAATTCAATTGGATTCTAATTGAAACCCTAGCAAGATTGTTTACTTTTAATTTTGTTTTGCCTTTATGGTAGTAGGGTTTGTGGGGGAGAGTGATAAAATAATTTTAAGTTTCCTGGGGGAAAAGTGGTAAAAAAAATCATTAAGAAAATTTTCAAAAAGAATATTGGTCATAAATTAAAATGAAATTCTGAAAATAAGACTTAATTAACCCAAAAGTAGGTAGAAAATGAGGAACAGAGTAGCAAAAGTACAAAGGAAGTAAACAGAAAACAAATAGAAAATGGTAGCCCAAATTAATGATTTTTAAATAATTACATTAATCATCAGTGGACTGAATACTCATTAAAAGTTAGGGATTGGCAGAACAAGCAGACTCAATTATAAGCTAGCTATAAAATACACACTTCAAATGTAAAGAAAATCATAGATGACGCTGTAAATGGATGGAAAAAGATACACCATGAAAACTATAAACATAAAAAAGTTTCAATAGCTATATTAATATATTTTGTTATTGTTCATGCCATATAGTCAGTTCCAACTCACACCAACCCAGTATTCGGTTTCTAAGGAGCAGCTGGTGGGTTTGAACTGCCGATCTTGTGGTTAGCAGTCAAGTGCTTATTATCCTTTAGCTACAGCACCACACTGGGAGTCCTAGGTAGTTTTAAAACAAATATTACTAGTGCTAACAAGGAATACTTCATAAGGATAAAAGGATCAATGCATCAGCAAGCTATAATAGACACACCTAATGATGGCTTTAAAATACATGAAAGAAAATTGATATAATTAAAGGGAGTAGACAAAAACAAACATCATTAGACATTTTTAACACTTATCTCAGCAATTGATAGAAATGGGATAATAAAATCAATAAAGATCTGTAAGACACGAGCACCATCAACCACCTTATCCTAATTGACATTTATGGAACACCACATTTAAAAACAGTAGCATATACATTCTTTTCAAATATAGGTGGCAAATGATACATTCACCAAGATAGGTCATATTCTGGGTCTTCAAATAGGAATAAATTTTAAACGTTTGAAATAATACAGATGATGATCTCTGGGTAAAATAAAATTAAATTAGAAATTAACAGCAAGAGATCCAGGAAAACTCTAAGTAATTGTTTCTTGAATGTCACAAGAGAAATTAGGAAGTGCTTTGAACTGAATGGCTGTGAAAACGCAGCATGTTAAAAATTGTGGGATGCAGTCAAAGCCAAAGCAAAATGTATAGCTTTAAAATTTTAAGTAATAAAATTAATAGAAAAGGTCTAAAATTAGTGACTTAAGGTTTTATTTTGAGAAGCTAGAAAAAGAACAGCAAAGTAAATCCAAAGTAAGAAAAACGAAGAAGCTAATAGAAAGTAAGAACCAAAGTCAATAAAATATAAAACAAACAATAGAGAAAAATGAACAAAGTCAAACTTGGTTCTTTGGGTGAAAAAAAGGACAAAATAACAAACTAGATTGACAAAGAGAAAAAGAATTCAGTTTATCAATATTAGGAGTGAGAGAGAAAGAAAATATCACATAGATTCTGGGAACATTAGTAACTGAATATTTTGAAAAATAAAGATTGGTGAGGGGGAGCTTCACTGTCTTAAAAGAATGTGATTAAAGGTGGAACTAAGAATTGCACATCAGAGTCATGGTATGAAGCTGTAGGATACACACTAGGCTGCAAGGTTGGTTTGAATCACAAGGTCAGTGGTTCAAACTTAACCAGGCACTCCTCGGAAATCTTATACAGGGTCGCTATGAGTCGGAAATGACTTGATGCACAACAAAGAATTACTTACCCACTACCAATGAGTCGATTCCAACTTGTAGCAACCTTGTATAGGGTTTCCGAGGCTGTAAATCTTTACATGGAGCAACTGGTGGGTTTGAACTGTTGACCTTGTGGCTAGCAGTCCAATGCTTATCCTACAATACCACCAGGTCTCCTGGACTAAACATTGTTGCTGTGGTTGAATGCCTGTGCTTAGCAGTTCCGTGGATATCCTATAGTGCCTCACCAGGATAAGAATTGTGTCATTGTTGCTAAGTGCCCTCTAGTTAGTTCTGACTCAGAGCGATCCTGTATAGCATTTCCAAGGAGTAACTGGTGAGTTTCAATCACCAACCTTGTGGATAGCAATCCAGTGCTTATTTTACAGCATGATACCAGGACTAGGAATTAGTAGGGATAAACTAGGCATTTATTTTACACTGTACACCAGTAGAAATTGCAGATGCATTAAGTCAAATTTTATAAAGGTGTTAGTAAATGCTGTCCCGTCATTTCCATTCCAAAGCGACCCTATATATAGTTTCTGAGGAGTGCCTTGTGGGTTTGAACCACCCCCTTACATTTCAAATCAACTGTGCATTCTTGTGCTTATCCTACAGCACCTCCATCAAATATTTCAACTGAATATTTTTCAAATCTTAGCTGAAGAATTCTCAAAGCATGAAAACAATAGAAGAACCAAGAAAGGAAAAATAAGGGGATTTGGTTATATATAAAGATTTAAACTTCTACATGTCCTAGTATGGTGCTATGGGTTAATGTGCCAGACTGCAAAGCCATTTGAACTGCATGGGTGACAGTTCATGCTCACCAACTGCTCCTTAGAAACCCTATACAGGGTCACCAAGGGTCGGAGTTGACTCGATGGCATTGAACAACAACAACATGTCTAAAAAAGACAAATTCATAAAGTGATACAAGATATTTATGATAATACGACAATATATTTAACATGTAAAGAGTTTATATTGTGAGAAAAAAATACTTCAGTTGAGAAACGGACAAGGTCTATTTGTTGAGTACGTAAGTCACTGCAAAAGAATTCAAGGGGCTTACACAATTTCTGGGAAAAGGCAGCTGTTCATATTAATTGTCAAAGATATATAAATACCAGGGAGTGTCAAAAAGCTAGGGAAAAATGGAGTTTAAAAGACAATGGAATTTTTCCATGAGCTTTTTGAAGACCTTCATATGTACATAACAATGTTTATTCATGTATACGTTATATTAGAAAAAAGATTTGAAACAACCTAAGTAACGGTTGAAAAATGTATGCCTGTTGCCATCCAGTCAATTCTGACTCATAGCAACCCTACAGGATACTATAGAACTGCAGCTTAGGGAGCCCTGGTGGTGCAGCGGGTTAAGTATTAGGCTGCTAACCACGGTCAGTGGTTCCTACCCACTAGCTGCTTCCTGAAAGAAAGATGAGACTTTTTGCTCCCATAAAGATTGACCGCTTCTGAAATTCTGTGGAGCGGTTCTTATGAGTAGGAATGTTTATGGAAGTAGACTGGTGGCATATCTGACACCCTCTGAGTGAGTGGCTGCTGGGTTCCAACCACAGATCTTTAGGTAACAGCCATGTGCTTAACCACTGGGCTACCAGAGCTCCTAGAAAACTATGTAGTATGTCCATTTTTTGCCATAAAAAATCTTGTCTGAAAAATAGCAACATGGAAAAATGCTCACAAAAAACTGTCCTGTGTATAGCATGATCCTATTTTTTAAAAGCCTGTCTTACAGAGAAAGCATTCTTTTGTTAGAAACTAACATGAAGCTATCATGCGTCCTGTTACTTTATAGGCAAAAAAACAATATACAGTGGTGTGGCACTGTAGGATAAGCACTCACCCACAAGGTCGGTTTGAACTGCAATTCAAACACACCAGCCGTTTCTTAGAAACCCTATACAGGGTCACCATGGGTCAGAATCAACTTAACAACAACAACAGCAACAATTTGCTAAAGACCCCCAAAATAAAGCAAATGTTATCTAGACTATTAGGTCATATTAGTATAAAGTAGGAACAACCCTTAGTACAATATATTTTACCTATGAAATCACATAAGTAATAGGTTAGTTTGAAGATATGTTTCTTTTTAAGCACACTAATAAATCCTGGTGTGGTGCTGTGGGTTAATGTGCTAGTCTGCAAGTTGGTTTGAACTGCAAGGTCGGTGGTTCAAGCTCACCAGTCATTCCTTGGAAACCCTATACAGGATTGCTATGGGTTAGAATCGACTCGACAGCCCTTAACAATAACAACAATGTACTTAAGGTGGTTCAAACTCATCAGCCACTCCTTGGGAACCCTATACAAGGGGGTTATGAGTTGGAACCAACTCGATGGCACTTAACAACAACAGCAATATACTTAATGGAGTCCTGGTGTGGTGCTGTAGGATATGCACTGAACTGCTAACTGCAAGATCTGCAGTTCAAGCCAACCAGTCTCTCCTGGGAAACCCTATACAGGGTCGCTGTGAGTTGGAACTGACACAATGGCACTTAGCAACAACAACAATGTACTTAGTGGAACACGGGCTCTATTGGATAAGCACTGGACTGTGAACCACAAAGTCCATGGTTCGAGCCCATCAGCTGCTCCACAGGAAAAAGATAAAACTCTGCTCCAGCAAAGATTTAAAGCTTTGGAAACCCTATATAAGGTTGCTGTGAGTTGGAACCGACTCCATATCATTTAATAACAATTTACTATATGGAAAGTTACTGTTTTAATTCTATTTATTAGAACTAGACTTTATATGAAAGGTATATAAGGAAAAATTTGTTTTACATGTACATTATTACTTAAATTTAAGTATAAATACTATCTATATGTATGGTTCTACTGATTTCATGAGTATTTACTGGACATTATTTTTCAGTTTAATGAACATTGTTCTGCAACAAATATAAATCCTCTTTCATCGCAACAAGAAATTGGTAAGTGTTTTAAATTTTCTATATAAACCATGTTAACTTTCTCACTTAGTATTTAGTTTGTCTATGATTTTCTTTTCTTTAACTTTTTGTTATGACTTGGGTGAAAGTTTACAGAGCAAATCAGTTTCTAACTGATTTTCTTTGGTGTTAAAGTTTACCTTTTAAAATTACTGTTACATTTATGGATATTTACCTTTCTTGCAAACACAACTATGCATGTGGTGGAGCACACAGTGGGCAAATGATGAAAACATCTTAGGTATTATCAAACATCTGAAGACAGTGAATTGCTGGGCCTGGGGGTTCATTCAGGACCATAGTCTCAGATGAAACCATGGTCAGTTGGCATAACATAGTCTACAAAAACAATGTTCTACATCCTAGTTGGGTGAGTATCACCTGGGATCTTAGAAGCTTGTGAATGGCCATCTTAGGTGCAGCTACTGGTCTCCTCTAGTGCTGAGTCGGGCTGCTAACCTCACAGTCAGCAGTTTGAAACTACAAGGGGTTCCTCAGAAGAAAGATGAGGCCTTCTGCTCTCATAAAGATTGAAAACCTTGGAAATCCTATGCAGGCTAGCTATGAATCAGAATTGACCCCACAGCACACCACCACCAGTGCTGAAGAGGAATCCTGGTGTGGTGCTATGGGTTAATGCGCTGGGCTGTAAAGTTGGTTTGAACCACAAGGTCAACAGGTCAAACTCATCAACATCTCCTCAGAAACCCTATATGGGGTCGCTATGAGTCGGAACTGACTCCATGGCACTTAAAAACAACAATGCAGAAGGAAGAATAGTGATGAAAATTGAAGAGGATTAGAATCAATTAGTCCAGCAAATTAATGGAACATGTGAACATCGGTCTTTATGACTCTGAGACCACAAGAACTAGATGGTACCACTATCAACTGCTCTGAAAGGGATCATATTACAAGGTCCTAGATAGAGCAGCAAAATATGTGGATAGAAGAACAGAAGATACTTCTTGAAAGAAAGACCTACAGGAAAATATAAAACAACATAGGCAGACAGACTGTTACTACAAGAACAAGCAACTTGCTTGCCCAGGAAACATCAAGGCAAGTGGTCGGGTCCCCTCAGTGCAAACCCCCTTCCAGGACTAAGACTCAAGGGGAATACGTGCTCTGATTGTTGACCATGCTCGACACCGATAAGGGGAAGTGAGGGAAAAGCAGCAATGAAGCAGTGAGCTAAGCCCTACAACGTTCAGTAGTAGACTTCTGTGAACCTGGGTGAAGACCTGGTTGGCCAGCAAGTGTGGCAAGACCTGGGGACTCTTGGGCCCAGAGTCAGTGACATAGCCACAGAGGACTAGAGTGGAGAGTGAAGCCATATGCATAAGAACA